GCCCAGCCTTGCCCAGCCACCACCTCCACCTCCCAGCAATGTCTCCCTGAGATGAATCCCTCACAACCCAGCACACAGGGCCGAGTGTCAAATCTCTCAGGGTTGTTGGGCAGATCCTGCTGCGTGTGTCCCCATCCCACACGTTTCCAATTCTCAGACAGGACGAGGTTGGGATAAGCTGTGTCTGGATCCAGAGTCACATTCACTGGGGAGAGAGAATCAGTGCGTTAGGGGCCCTAGTGGAGGCTGGGACCATTTCTCACACTCCCCAGCAGCCCCGTTCTGGCTGGGACAGGCCTGGATCCCAGGGAGCTGCCTCTGTCCTGGGCACCTGAGACTGAGCAGGGATGTCACTGCAGTTCTTCAGTCTCTGTAAGGAGACCCACTTCATTAGTTTCCCATTTGCTTGCTGAGGCTTCAGCTCCCTGCTTCCTCTGCTGGAGCTGCTGCATTCCCAGCATCAGAGACACAGCAAGGAAGGTTTTAGTGAGGAGGGAGCAGAGGAGGCAGGTACCAACTTTGAACTCCAGAGGGAAGCTCCCTCCCCTAAGTGCAGCCTCCACTCCTCAGCCAGAGTAGGATGAGCCAATTAAGAAAAGAGAGTATGAAATGGCATTGGGTGGGGTAGCGCCATCCCCAGTCTAGAGAGAAGGGAGGAGTTAGCCTCACAGGGAGAGCATCTCCCCAATCCAGGAAGCAGGGAGCAGCTTCATTGGGAGAGCCCAGCCCTGCCCAGAGGAAAGGCAGGATGTTGGAGAACAACGATGGGGAAGACCCCCTGCACCGGGATAAAGCAGAGGGATGTGTCAGCCCTCAGGGCAGAGAGCCCTGTTCACATGCTTCTCAAGGAGAGTTTTTCTGTTCAGCAGCATGGGCATGAACTCAGCACAAAGGATGATGTCAGGAGTGTTTGTGTGACTTCAGCATGGGAGCTCCTCACTGTGCAGTGTGTTCTTTTTAGGGCTGTGTGTGTCATGGTCGATGTCACATTGGTTGGTAACTTTAGCTACAATCTCATTAAGACTTTTTCTGACAATTTAAAGACAATTTCCAGCTGCAATCTCACCCCGTCTGAATGTTCCTAGGGATCCTCCTCTTTTTGTCACTAGTGCAGACGGCAGAGTGTCTGGAGGAGGGAAGGAGAAAGGAGACAAGATTTCAGGATTTCATATTTATAACTGTCTTTTTCCTCTCTCATTCAGGCATCTCCCAGAAATGGAACCAACATCCTTGCAGCCTCACAACTATCCCAGGACCCACAATCTGTAAGTGAGATTTACTTTTCCCCTTATCATCCTCTCCCACCCTTCAAACTCCAGTTGGTTTGTCTCATCACTTACTGCCTTTTGTCGTAACCTAGACCTGGAGCCTGCAAAGACTTTGAAATAAAAGTAACTTTACCCACTTTAGTACTTTGACACTAACAGGATGTTGAGAGTTTGTGAAATCCTGGCTCTAATTGTGAGCTCTTGGGTCTGTTTACTCAGTGTCTCTACAGAGAGCAGCAGGATGGGGCCTTGTCCTCCACAGGCAGAAAAAGAAATAATAGTAAAAGCATTTTATAAATGTGGAAATTGAAGTGGGGGAAAGGTTGACACAATGGGACATATTCATCCCTATTACAATAGCCCCCATCT